GTGTCCCGGTCATGTTGTGATGGTGTCCCGGTCCAGTTCTGATGGTGCCCCGGTTGTGTTCTGATGGTGCCCTGGTCCTGTTGTGATGGTGCCCTGGTTAGTTAGACTTGTTACTTTCTATTGAGACTGGTGCTGCTTTGTGTGATCTCTGTCAAGCCTGGGACCGCCTATGACTGATATGTGTTTGTGTGACCAAATTTCATCTGGGCAAAACTCAAATGATTGACGTAGCTCTGACTTCTGGGCTAGCTTTGCTGACCCCGGCTCAGAAAGAACATATTGCACTTTGTCATATAGGAACATATAACAAAGAAGCCATGACGACAAGTGACCTGTGAAATCCTGAGAAAAATTAAGATCGAGATGTCCAACTGAATTCAACAACACGACTCAGCAGAAACACGGCCTGTTCTCTAGCGAATTATTGCTTGGATATCATCACCTGCCTTGATGGTACGGTGCGATAGCCATTCATTGGTCAGTACGGTTTGATTGCCACTGACGACTTTGGTGAAGTCCATAAGGTTGAGTCTATAGGCTCATTTGTTTTGTGGCTCGTGCAAACACCACTCGCATCAACGTGCTTGCTTCAAGGAGAGCGGTGAGTGCCGGGCTTCGTGAAGCAAAGCGCGCAAGGAACGCTTAGCAATGCTTTTGAGCCTCGTTGCATTATGCGCTTCGTGACCAATCACCGTCCAGCGAAGTCATTGTTTGATCCTCTGCTTTAAGCGGTGGCTCAAGAGTTGGAAGTCTCAAGGGTACTGTCACGCTTCAAAGCCGCTCCTGTGAAAAGGTTCTTTGTGTCTCGGTTTGAATGTCGCTATTGGGGCCTCCAGCTGGGCTAATGTAGACCCCACGCAAAATGAATTCAGCATCAAACTTGGAACCTTACAGAACCTCCATAGGCAAACGTTTCAGAACCACTTGATCAAAGCTTCGGCTTTGCCAACATCTGTTGACTGAGTCATCCTCAATGAACAACTGGACTGCAAGCTTGGGACGCTATCCAAGTGTGGCAAGAGCAGGCCACAAAGTTTTGTATGTCCATGGCTTCTAACATAGGTTCTATCAGCACTTGGCCGTGCTGATCGCTCGATTGCCGAACCTTATTGTGTGTTGCAGCGCCTCTCCTCTTCTGTTCGTCCTGTGTTTGGTGGAACCTTTGTGGATGACAATGTGGCACAACGTCCGTTGGTGTTAGGGTGACCCAGAAGGGCCTTATTGGCACAGCAGCGCTACCTGCAATAGGGTACATGAGATATTTCCCGACGGATGGTTTCTTTACGCAAAAAGCACCTCTTCGCTGGCAAGGAAAGCTCAAACTGTCCTCCCCAAAGCCTCTTGATGAGTAACATTTTCAGGTCCCGGTGCGTCTTGCTGCCATGTCCTGCATAAGGCCCTTGAAGAAGCTCTTCTTCCCGCTCTTCTCTGCCTGGCGACTTCTCGAACTGATCTAAATGAGTGCTTGATAGAGCTTCCCCTTGGACGTTTTCCAGTGTAAACAACCGGCTTTCCTTTAATACCGTCCGTTAAGAATAGCTTCAGGGGCGTCGAACTTTGGAGGCTCAATACAGCAGCACACGCCATGTCTCGAGTCTCACTGGAGGAGGAGTTTGCAATTTTCAAACATGCTTCGAATTATCTACTCGAAGAACGCTACTAGGAGCAAAGGGCATCGCTACTAGGAGCAAGGATGCTACTAGGGGCTCCTGGCCTTACTACTACGAACAATGTTTGCTATTAGAAACAAGAAGAACATATAAATAGAATTAAGTTTAATATCTTCCGACTGGCCACAGGGATAACTCCTAACAGGTGGAGCAAATCACTGATCTGGGCAGCAACGCAATTACTCACGGCTGACCAATGTGCAGAAAAACAAAAGGTAAAACACTAACATGCTGAAACTGCAACACAACTTCGAAGCACAACAAGGAACCTTCACCTTTTAGCCGCTACCAATTCAATGTTGATGCTTTTTCTTGCGCATCGCCGGCACTGGACTCCAACTTTGCTGGAGTCTTCAGCGGTTTCACTGTGTCTAACATCCCCAATTCGCCCATGCAAGTGGGGCTCTTAGTGTTTTCTACACCGGTCTGAGGATGCGGAAGTCAAGGGTTTTTTTGCGATCTCACAGAGATCTGGATGCCCACGAAAGCCACCGAACCAAGCTTTGCACTATTTACTTGGCGACATTGAGCCTCAGGTTCTTGCAAAATACAATGGAATAAAATGGACAGGATGCCCAAAATCACTACCAAAATCGGCCGAGTCAAGCCTGTCACAAGATCTCAGGCCATGCTGGTTGATCCCACTGAGGAGGTTCAAGACTGCTAAGTTTTCCAAATTTGACGCAGCAACTCTTCCCCCGCATCCGATCGGTGGACATGGCCGGCCGTCCAGCGACCGCAAACGGGATGTGCCAGCATTAACACTCGATGGCCCTGAAGAGAGGAACAAGGCGAACAGAATGAATGAGATCACCACTTCTTGAAGAAAACATTTGAAGCACCAAATTCAACACCGCACGGCATCACCACTTCTTGAAGCAACAAATGTTCGTTCCATCAGGATTTGGGCCCAGCATCACCCGCAGTCGTCCCCAACTCTCGGGCCCAACGTTGGCACCGGGCATCTCATCCGGGCCGGGTCAGGTTGAGACCTTCATAGGCCGCACGGCACCTTGGTGGTATTGGTTCAGAAAGGACCTGAAGGAGTCTGTGGGAAGAACCAAAGCAAATGCAAAGGCATGTAAATAAAGCATAGGAATGGAGCCATCGAAATAATGGTTGAACAGTAATGTTTGATATTCTTTTCAATGGTTCACTGGCCACAAACAACAAGACTGTGATATGCGAATCATAATGTTTCAATATGTGTAATCATTCCTTACACTGCGCCAGGGCACTCAGCAGTGGCGGATGCACGCAGCTCAACTCCAGGCTCCTGCTCGAAGGGCGACAAAGCCCCGACCGCTGCAAACCTGGCGAGCTGCTTTTCTCGAAATTCCTCAGGACTCTATGGAAATAAGGTGATTGGGTGATCTTGAATGCGCCCTACACATTAACAATTGCTTGCTTGGCTAAAACCACCCCAAAAGGCTAGCATCACTGATAGAAGGACACGAACAAACTCCAAGACGTCTCTCTTTGTTTTTTGTTTTTGCGAAATCTCGCTGCCGAGAACACCCAAAGGTTGCAGCCTACTTCATGATGAACTTGGCTGACTTACCTTCTCCAAAAAAGATGGCAGCAAACTTCTTCTACCTTTGTTCGATGAACATTCATACGGGCAAACTCAGCAAAATGTGAGGAGAGAACACTGTGCTGTGTTGAGTACTGTTGCTACGACATGCTACGACTCACTCCAAACAAACAATATCTTTGCCTTGAGCGTAGCACACAGTACAGCGAATGTCTGTCGTTGATCTTGCTGAATTAGGACTCGTTCTTTCGACTAGAATCGGACTCAAGCGGCCATCGCTACTAGGTTGGAGGCCATTGCTATTAGGTTCCTTTTGCTACTAGGTTGGGGGCCATCATTAGGTTGGAGGCCATCACTCTTAGGTCTCTTAGGTTCCACCTCTCTTCTGAGATGATTGCGGGGGCTGTGACCTGTGTGGAGCCCTGTACCTTTGCTGCAACGCAAGGGACGAGCCAAACACCATGATGAAGACTCCATACCTTTGTGCCAAGCGCTGAGAATGGACTGTTGAAAGAATGCATCTAGGAAAACACCTGGCATGAAGGCCTTCCCAGTATTCACAAATGGTGTAGGATTTCTCTATCAACAAACAGAAAATGAGCAAATTCACTGGCAAATATTCTCACCCCCGTGGCCCCTAGTGATATGGCCTGAGTAAGTCAAACCGAATGATGGACTCCACAGAAGGAGACAAAAGGTATCCACTTCTCAACTGGCTCGTTTGGGGTTCGGGACTTTGCATCGCCACTCACGTGAATACAAGCATTTTGCTGAGCTACCTGGCAGCAAAAATGTCTCTGTAAGGCGTGTTTGAGAACACCTCAATTTCTTAAAACGGTGGACAAGCCTTGCTTTTTCTGGATCGACTCACGTCTTCTTGAATGTTTAGCTTGGTGATGCTATGACGTGCCACCCACGAACTTTCACAGTAATGCAAGAATACCGCGAGCGATTGTCGTCACGTTAGATCTTGGAGGCCATATGCCCCATTTTGTTTTTATATGGAACTAATTATAGTTGTTTTCGCGTTTTGTCGGTTACTCCTCTGTTTCTTTTTGGACAGGTCTTCCATTTTTTGTTATTTGTTGCTTTTCTTCAATTTCTTACTTCTCCTTGACACAAGAAACACATGTTTTGCAAACTACCCCTTATTTTCAATAAACATGCTTCTATGCTCATAAGGGCCAACGAACTATTCACACACACACACACACTACAATCATACCTGAATTTCTGCGAAGAGCTCGTGGCTTAGGTCTTGGATGGTGTCACACCCAAAAATGATCCCCAAAAAGATCAAGGGGTGTTCCCAGCCTAGCAAAGTGAGAGTGAGACTGAGATAACCACGCGACAAACCACGGTTTCCTCAAAAGTCTCCTTCAGGCTCAGGCTTCCTTAAAGAAGCCTGCACCCTTTTGCGTCCGATTGGTAGCAGCTCTATACTTAAGCGGACTTAAGCTTGGTGAAAGCTGATTAAAAACGACACAAACTACATTTTGGCCTACCCGCCCCACAAAACTTTCAATCCAAACCGCAACTCACCAACCTTGAAGCGAGCGACAAGAGCACCAGGAAATGCAGCGTCTTTCGCACATGGCCTACCTGCTGAAGCACAAGCGGCTGGGACTTCCCCGTCAGTTGGGAGGATCGTACTTGGATAGTTCATAGTTTCTAGGTGCTTCCGAATCTTGTTCGCCAGTAGTCAAGTGGCTACTGATTATGCCAAATTGACAACTGTACACCAACTGCGTGCGCTAAAATCATTGTACCAGTGGGAGAACGACCCAGCAAAAGCGACATGGACCTGGAGTCTATGGAAAACCTTGATTTCTCGCTCTGACTACAAAAGTTTTTTCGCTCTGAACTTGGGGCTGAGGTACACAACGGCCTTCCCTGAGTATACTGTCTTTACAGGCAACAAAAATCAAGCACACCGACTTTTATCTTGTAATGTGGGTTGGTCGAAACAAACACCCCGACAACCCTGGTGGTCTAGAAGGACCTACGGCAGTCCAGCTGGCTCATCAATGTCATAATGTCGACAAACACCCTTCTGAAACGGATCTGGGTTCTATTGCCCTGGCCCCTTGTAGTTCACCCTGCAAACTGACCAGAAGCTTGGCATGGATGCGCCTCCTTGACTTTGCAGTAGTGGAAGGCCACAATGGGAAAGATCTGGGCAGTGGCTCTGAAATGCACAGAATCATGCTTCAAAGGGGAGGATGAGGGATTGAGATGATTGGACCCAATCAGGATCTCTCAAGCGTTGCTTCAGATTCAATCTCACCTCGGATGGCCGCGTTTTGTCGTTCTTTTTTTTTCTAAATGCAACTGTGTCTTGCAACATATTGGGAGATACATCTTAGTAGCCTGCAACGCCAATTATGCTCAATTCTAGCCGCCCTGCCATGTTCATTGATTGCCAAAAAAGGATAAAGTCGTACCAGTCACCTTTAATGCTTTAGCTTTTTGATGGGACATGATCTATCCAGCTGCCTTCAGAGCAATCAGAGATACATGAGATCTCCCTGGCAGGAAACTCCAACCTAGTAGCGATGGCCTCCAACCTACCAGCTTCTTGCTACTCCTGTGAGTTTGACACTCATTTACCGAGGTGCAATGTTGTTGCAAACACCTCAAACAAGCTGATCGGCCACAGCGGGGTGTCACGGCGTAGCCCTAGCCCCATGGGAAACCCGTCCAAGGACATCAAAAGAGTCTTTTCATGCTTGTTTGCATTGCTGTGAAGAGGACACATCTTCTTGGAATGCACGGCTCTTTTACTTTAGTAGACAAGACTCGTCAAAAAAATAGTTTCCCGACTCCCGACTGTTTCCCTCCTTGGAAACCAATATGTAGACATGGACGTGTGGGTTTGATGACGTTTCTTCTGGGGTACTTCTTTACATGCCTATTGGGAGCTACTGCATCTTGCGAACAGCTCCTAGCATGAAACTTCGTCTCCATCCGACTCAAGCGAGAAACACCGTTGTGAATTACTGGAAGTTTGGAATTCATGAAAGACTGAGCGGCCAGGGATATGCAAGCCACCATGATTTCGCAGAGATTATCCTCACCACCAACTAATATGTTTACTGCATATTGCAGTAAAAACCCTGATTGGACAATCCAAGCTTTGCATAGTTGTTCACCCTCCAAAAAGATATATGCTTATGCTGTTCCAGCAAGAGAAACATCCAAGAGAGGTTGTTCAAACCAAACTCCCTT